TATTACGGGGAGAGGGAGACGTTGCTGTTTTTCTCCTTTCTCCTTTTTTTCTCGTTTTGTTCCTTTTCTCCTGGCCCTGCCAGCAAGGCAGCGCATATTCCTCTTGCTCAAACCGCCCTTGCTGAGGGCATACTCACACTAGCCACGTTGAAATGCATCCAACCACTTTCATGGGCAAAGCGTTGTTGGCTTTTTTTTTTTTTGTTCTTTTTTTTGAGAGTCCGGACAGTCCTGCTCCCCGTGTTCTACGCTCTGCTGAAGTGTTCTCACTGAGGGCAAACTCACACCAGTACTCCAAAAAAGTGTATCCAACTGCAATCACGGCCAAAGGCTTTTCTTTTTTTGAGAGTCCGACAGTCCTGCTCCCTGTGTTCTACGTTCTGCTGAAGTGCCCTCACTGAGGGCAAACTCGCACGAGTACTCCAAAAAGTGTATCCAACTGCAATCACGGCCAAAGGCTTTTGTTTTTTTTGGGATGTGCGTATTGAGATGGGCCCAAAAATTTGAAAACCTTCGCCTTTTACTTCTTGTGGCGACAACGCCGACAAGTTATTTTGCTGCAAGGCTGAGGCCGTGTACTGGTGGTTTAAGAATGATTTAGGATTCTGGGGACTCCTAGCAACTCATCTTAGACCGCTCCATTGCTGATGTACTCAGTGATCTGCAGCTGTTCGATGCCAGAACGACACTGCCCGGTGCTGGGGTGTTGCCCTGTAACCTGCTGATGCATGAGTGTGAGGCCTGGCAGAGAGATCTAGGGATGCTTTGGGGTGGGCATTCCAAGGGACAACCAACGGTTGCTGCTGGGACGACGCTGGTCGGAGCTGGGGCGAGTCGTGTTGCCCTGTAACCCAGCAGGGTGGGGTTGTGAGGCCTGGAAGAGCTCGGCAGGGAGTAAGACAGTGCCGGAGGGCTTTAGAAGGGTTGCTAGGGACTCCCAGGGTTTTGAGCATTTGTAGGACCTCTGTGGTGGCGTGTTTTGTTGTGGATAAGACCTTTTTTCTGAGGTTTGTCGTAGTAATTTTCTAAGTAGCTCAGGAACTAGCGTGTAGCTGTGTATCTGGCGCCGGATTCAGGGTGAAGAGGTTCCCCCTTCCCTCCAATATCCTACTCAGTCAATCCCCTGGATCCCAGGGTAATCAATGCTGGTAGGAACACTCCACAATATTTTCTGATGTATCCCAAATTCAATTTGTATAAGGGACGCTGGACCCGCTTTCCAGCAGGTGATGCTCCCCACCAATAGACGGAGCCTCTCCCCAGGTGCTAGTGGTGTCTGCTCTTATCAGCACCACTAACACTGGTGGGGGTGTTTAAAAAAAAAAAAAAAAAAAAAAAAAAAAAAAAAAATCTAAATAGCTCAAAATTTTCTTAGCCAAAGCCGGGTAATGGCCCGGGTATCTAAAACGTTCAAAATTCTATGTACATTTCCATATGGGACGCTGGGCCCGGTTCCCAGCACATGCTGCTCCCCACGAATAGATTGGAGCCTTGTCCCCATTGGGAAAAAAAAGACAAAAAAAAAGGGGTGAGCAGCGTATGTAATCCGCGACTAAGCTTCCGTCCGATCCGTGCGTGCAACGGTGCAAGGTTTCCAATCACACGGCTCTCCATCCGTTTGGCGATATTGCTGACTATTACCCTTTTCCATTTTCATGTACCATTGAAACTCTGCCGCCACACTTTGTGCCGACATGCAAAATTTGAAGGTGTTCCCGCATCTTCTTGGTAGCGGCAGCAATCCAATGGCTTATGCACATGGATAAATCATATCATAAATGGCAATAATTATTAGATAAACAAATTTAACCATAATAATATACACTAGTATACGGTGAGTTAAGCCATTGGTTTGCTGATCATTTCTAATCAGGTGGGTTTGCTGAGCATACAAACCATACAAACTTTTTATACCCAACTGTAAATAATGTTCCATAATCTAATTTAAGTTATTTAACCATACTAAACCAACCCAGTGATTTATATGATGATAAACCATCAGGTCACAGTTGGGTTATATAACTTATAAGTGTAAACAATACTAAACATACTAAACGATGAGAAGCGTCCTGTTGAGCATCGGTCAAAATAGGAACGATGTTAGAGAAGATTAGAGATTAGCATGGCTGCCATGGCCCCATTGAAAAAGAAAAAGAGAGACATTTGTCAAAATTGGAACGATAGGGAAAATATTAGTATGGCGGCTATGGCCCCGTTGGCAAAAAAAAAAGGGAGATGGAAAGGGATGAGGGGGGCAAGGAAGGAAGGGAAAAAAAAGAAAAAAAAAAAGAAAAAAAAGAAGAAGAAAAAAAAGAAGAAGAAAAAAAAGAAAAAGAAAAAAAAAGAAAAAGAAAAAAAAGAAAAAAGTAAAAAAAGAAAACGAAACAAAAGAAAAAAAAGGGAAAAAAAAGTAAAAAAAAGAAAAAATAAAGAAAAATAAAAATAAAATAAAGAAAAAGAAGAAGAAAAATAAAAGAAAAATAAAAAGAAGAAAAAAAGAAAAATAAAAGAAGAAAACAAAAGAAAAACAACAAGAAGCCAAATGCAGCGTTTAGCGAAAAGATTAGTATGGCAGTTACTATGGCCCCATTGAGAAAAATAAAAAGAGAGATGGAGAGGGCTAAGGGGGGAAAGGAAGGAGGGGGAAAAAAAAAAACAATGAGAAGCTGAACTCAGCGTTTAGAGAAAAGACTAGTATGGCGGCTGCTATGGCCTCATTGGGGAAAAAAAAAGAAAAAAAAAAAGAAAAAAAAGAAAAAAAAAAGCGAGATGGAGAGGGATGAGGGGGGAAAGGAAGGAGGAAAAAGAAAAAAAACAAAAAAGTCCAAAAAAAACAATGAGAAGCCTAACTCGGGTTTATCCGCTGGGATAGATCTCTAGATAAACCACGTTTGCACTATGCCAATAACTCAGCTTGAAACATGCAATAGTCGTGAGCCATACATAGGTCGTCACTTCAGTCTAAGGACCGAATCAGGGGCCAAAGACCACACCCGAGTCATGAAAAATTGCCTGAACCCCAAGGCCTGCTGTGGGCTGTGGGTACCCGAAGCATGGCGGCCTAAAACTGGCCTTCAGAGGCCCTACGTGCGGCAGTAGACTGTGGAAAGTCAAAGGTCAACAGCAGCTCGGAAATTCAGGCTCACCCGTCAAAGTCAACATGGACCCAGTCCAGGCCACCGATCAGACACACACACTTGGCTGTTTACAGGTGTCTGCTGTCGAGAATCCATCCCAAGTGGGAATCTGCAAGTTTGCAACGGTATGAGATCCAGGCCATTGACTGCGGGTTCAATCTGGGCCATCGAGAATCCAGTCCAAGTGGGAATCTGCAACTGAATGGGTGGGATCCAGGCCATTGACTGCGGGTCAATCTGGGTGGGCCATCGTAGCCGAGAGAGCAGAGAGGCTGGTCAACGGGAGTCGACACTATAGGTTGCGCGAGCCCCTGCTGACCGACATTCAGTCTGGCGCTTGCTGGTCGACGCTGGCTGGACGCTGGCTCGATATCGGATGACGGCGCGAGGCGGCTACTGCTAAGCGCTGGCGCCATTCTGTGTCTTCGGCGCCGACTCTCTTCTTGATTACGCTGACGTGGCTCTCGCCACACAGTCTACGGCATTGATGGGATATTGGAGAGGAGGAGGAGGAGGAGGAGGATCAGGGCTGAAGGTTCGAGCTCTATTAAGAAAGGTACAAAAGTTACGGCCTGGGAAACGGGCGCTGCATGCTGCGCAATACATTTGTCGGCCTTTCGGCAAAGATCAAGTGTAATGTATCTGTTCGGATATTAAACCTGCGCATAGGCAGAAGAAGGGTGGGAAGGGAAACGTATCGTGCAGCATGCAGCCTTTAATATCCGATCCGTCGTCCACCATCGCCGAGAAAACCTGGTTGAATCCTGCCAGCGGTCGTATGCTTTTTCTCAAAGACTACTAAGCCATGCATGTCTAAGTGTGAACAATGTGCAAAAAAAAAAAAAAAAAAAAAAAAAAAAAAAAAAAAAAAAAAAAAAAAAAAAAAAAAGGGACTTTTCTTGTAGGCAGTGAGGACAGGCAAGCGGGGTGATGGACATAATTTTGGGACATAAATTTTGGCAAACAATGCCAGAGACACATCGGAAACATCCGTGTGTGCAAAAAAAATCGGCACATGGAACGGTGAAGACACCGAACGGAGAGGACACACATAAACCACTGCAGTACTTCCTAAAGTCGTGCCCGTTAATGCTATACGCGATTTTAGGAAACGTACGGGGCACTACAGGAGCGCCCAAATTCATCCGAGTAGAGAACCGTTTCGAGTACTTTCTACTCTATGTTTTTCCACGGCCGATAGCTCGGCCAAGCACTGGTGGTATAACAGATGGAGTTATCTTACACAGGAGGAGGAGGAGGAGGAGGAGGAGGAGGAGGAGGAGGCTGCTCATGCAGGAATTTTTCGACAAACAATGCCAGAGACGCAATCTGAAATATCAAAAATATTCGTGTGTGGAAAAAATAGGCACACGGAACGACAAAGATAGGCGGATACACACATAACAGAGGGAATTATTTTGCACAGGAACCTCTGATCACGCAGGAAGACGAGACGACAATGGCGATCTGAAAGCGGCAAGAGCGAGAGACCCTCAGACCAAACGGTAGTTCATCCGACGGCTTACATTCTTTGTATGCTTTGCATTGTTTCAAATTCCTAATTTGCACACATTTCCTGCAGTGAGCAGAATAGAACAGGCCGCTGCCCAAAAAAAAAAAAAAAAAAAAAAAGGCGCCCTAGGCGTCTGCAATCGGGGGGCATGCAACCTAATGCGACGCCCGGTGATGATATCTCATTTCATCCAATTGAAATCATCACTGAAATTAACGCTAAGCAACAGCAGACAGGCGGACAAGTGCTACAGAGAAGAAGCACATGCGTAACTGGGCGTAGGAAGTGGAGTGGAGAAACAAGAGACATATGTCTCGGTCCTGGGGTCCTGGGACCATGACATCGAGAAATACTCGCGCTAAAATTGATTAATAAAAAGAACATATATAACAGGGTATCGATCATGATAGGAGAAGAGTCCGATGGAAATGTATTGATAAAAATGCCTCATTTCAACTCGTATACGAGAGTGTCTACGGGACGGAATTGAAACAAAAAGAGAAAGTTGAGAAAGACAGAGAAAAAGAGGGCCACGGAATCGGAATAAAAAAGAGAAAGTTGAGAAAAAATAGAGAAAACGAGGGCCACGGAATTAGAATGAAAAAAAAGAAAAGTTGAGAAAAACAGAGAAAAAGAGGGCCACGGAAATGGAGCAAGAAGAGAAAGTTGAGAAAAACAGAGGAAAAAAAAAGAAAAAAGAAAAAAAAAAGAGGGGCGATTGTGACGCAACTAAGTGCTGCTGCTAGTGTTTCTGTTTCGCGGCCGCCTCCGGAAAACGTAAACAAGGTCTAATGGGCAAACGGTTGCATTATGAGGGGGGTTTGTGAAAACGTAGCCTGAAGGATCGCCAAATTTTGTCGAAGTTCCGTCTGGGTCTTTTGCTGCTCTGTACAATCCAAGTGACAACAGACCTCTCGAGTGCAGCAGATGCCTAAATAGGTGCAAATACGACAAACCTCCACAGCCCGGGGGCACATGAATGATGTCCAGCACACAGATTATCTCGTTGCAAACCGCATTGTCCTCGCCGCTTCCAGAAGCCTCGTTCTCGTGCTGCTGTTGCCTATGCACTAAGTCCCATGCAGGCATTGTTGTTGGTCTCCTGTCGTCGCTGCTCTTGTCACTGTCGCTGTTTTGATTATATCCCATCTCCTCATCAGGCCGCTCGATCGATGACAGGGCCTCGTGAACAAAAGCGAGGAATATGTGTACTGTATTCTTGTTCGTGAAGGATGGAGCCCTGCACATACGAATCGAATCGCAGTCGGGCAACAACAGGTCAGGACGAACGACTTAGAAAAGTAGGGGGCGCTGACCCAACTGGCCTGCCTACCCCGGTAGCTCAGTTGGTACAACGACAGACTGTTGAAACACAGAGCTGGAACCAACGGAATGAAATCAACTAATTATGAAGTACCCGGCGGGACCGGTCAGTTCGGCAATGACATCTCAAGACCGTCGTCCCTTTTTTTTTTTTTTTTTTTTTTTTTTTTTTTTGCCCTTTTTCGTTTTTTGCGTGTCTCATCCTTTCTTTTATACACATCTAGATGTGTATAAGAGACAGGCCAGGTCCCACTAGTAGCAAAGAGGATCGTATTTAATTCCTGAATCTGGACATGTTTGTGGAAAGATGCGGAAAATCGAGATTGATCAGCTTTTCTGCATCTCTGCGACAAACCCGTCCAGATTCCTGAATTAAATCTAATCCTCTTTGCTAATGGGACCAGGCCCCAGTACAGCCGGGCGTGGAAGCGCCTTACTGTGCGGGCCAAGCTTTTTCCCAGCCGCCAGCGGCGCCGTTTCTTTCTGTTTTTTTGGCTGGCGCCGCCAGCCATTGTGGTCCCGTACGCCGAGCGTCCGCGATGTTCATAGGCGACGAGTTGCATTTTCGGCAAGGCAGGGGCCGCCGTGTACTGGTAGCTTGGAAAGGGATCATTGGTCAGTGGTGGGTTAAAGCACCAGTACATGGCTACCTGGGCCGCGGGCCCCACACCTTGAAATCTGGAAGCGCCGCGAAACGAAAAGGTGACCGCCGATCCAAGTTATCAACGACAGGAAGGCCCACCGTTTGACGTTCCGGCCCCTGCGCGCCAATTTTCGCCGAAGCGTCGGGGTACCGTTTCAATTTTTTTTGGCTGCCGCTTCCAGCCATTGTGGTCCGGTACCCCGAAGCCCTAAAGGCACGGCGCGTTAACGGGAAAGCGCCGCGGCCGATAGCTGGGCCAAGTACTGGTGGTTTAAAAAAACTGGGCAACTGTGGAGAAAGTTGATTGAATATAAGCAATACCGTGTTTTGTTTGCATGGCGTTTTGGATGCAGTGGCTGCATTGCATGCGGCAATCCTCTCGTAGCAGGAGCATGATTGTTACAAGGCAGAGGGAGCGGGCGATCAAGGCTTGGAGACCGCCCTGGGAGGCTGCTGGGTACGCTGCGCCTCTCCCGGCTAGAGGGGTCCAAGCGGACAAAAAGGCTGACTAAGGGTGGGCACTGGGTAGGACTGGGGCAGAGCTGCTCTTCTCATCGGTTGCCACATGTGTTCATGCTTGCCAATGATAACCAACCCCGGAAGGTCGCCCCCCAGAATAGAAGGGGCATGTCTGTGGTTGGGGTGTCCAACTTTCCACAAAAAAAAA